GCGTTGAGCTCGCACAGGCACGCCCCAGGTGCTGTCAGCCTCTGGCTTCTGCTCTCCAGCTGCACGTTTCCAGCAACTCTTTGCACATAGTTAAGACACTGCATGGGGCGGGTATTTCAAGTTTTATTTGTATTCCAACATGTAGGTTATCGTAGGTTAAAGATCCCTTTGACGGACACTGCTGGTCTCCGCCCTGACCTGGAGGTGCCCCCGGTATCCATTTGGGGTGTCTTTTCTGAGCGTGCTCTGTCAATACACGCCCATGTCGTTGGCATGTTTTTTTTGAGCCTGGACTTGTGAAGTTGTTGGTGCAGTTTTAGGGATGCTGCCCTTGAGCTCTTTCCCTGAGCACCTGCCGGACATACCGGGTCCTTTGGGAGGAGGAGGGAGTGCTTCTGGAGGAAGGGCTGGGCGGCCGCGTGCAGGCCAGGGGGTCCTGAAACAGTTGTCCATGTTCCCGTCCTACAGGCCTCCTCCTTGCCTGGTGTGTTTTACCTGTGCTCCCCCACAGTGCCGCCTGCACCCCCCCTTTCCCTGAGACATGCCAGGCATCTCGGCCCTGCCTTCCGGGGTCTTTGTCTTCTGTCCTCTGTGCTCTGTGCCCAGACCTGTGTAAGTTGGAGAGCACGGGTGGAGAAACATGCACAGACGTGACATGTGACACTGTGCACACATGCCGGTCTGCCTCCTTTGCCGCCATTGGTCTGGCCACAGGGGAGGGTGGCCTGGGCCTCCAGAACAGCGGGTCTCCCTCGGGCCTGCATGCGCTGTGCAGAGTCTGCCTGGGGGTCCTGACCTGTGTTATGAACCTGGGGAGGCCTGAGTGGCTTCCCATGCCTAGCCCAGCCCTTGTGAGCCGCTGGGACACCAGTGTGAGAGTGTAGGTCCCGGCATCCTATGGAAGGGCGGAAGGCCCATGGGCTCGGCCCATGAGCTGCTCTGTGAGCCCCCTCTCCAGATGTGTGGTCTCCTTGGCTTAGCCCCAGTCACTGTGGCCCCCAGGTTCCACCGGTCAAAATTACAGTTTAGGAAAAACTTCAGGAAACTTTAGGAAAAAACTTTAGGAAAAAATTTTATAATTTGTGATGTTCTCATCAGAAATTATAGAAACTCTGGAGGGTGCTCTGCCTCTGTGATGGGGGCCTGGCTCTTCCCACGTGTATTCTCCCTGCTGTCCACACAGGCGCATTGCTGGTCTAGTCGATCCGGCTTTTGGCTTTTGCTCTTCTCAGTGTGTGTATTTTTGTAATCAGAAGACCCACACATGTTGGCATTTCAAAATGCTGCTCCCATCACCTCCCCTTCCCGTTCTCTCGTGAGTAGCTCATGGTGTGAAAGTAGCCTGAGTGTGGACGACAGCGCAGGGGCCTGGTTGCCGGCCATGTGACACGGGATGCAGCTGTCTGCTTCGTCCTCTGCGCCTTTGTCACGAAGCATAGGTCATGGAGGTCATGGCCTAGTCTTCCGGGATTCTTTTAGACTTGGACCAAATTCTGGAATCAAATATTTGCATGTCAAATTGACAGAGAAACTGAGAGAGTGTTTTCTTTTCTTTCTTTTTTTAAAAGATTTTATTTATTCATTCATAAGAGACAGAGAGAGAGAGAGAGAGAGAGAGAGAGAGGCAGGCAGAGGGAGAAGTAGGATCCCAGCTGAGCAGGGAGCCTGATGATGGCCTCTATCCCAGGACCCTGGGATCATGACCTGAGCTGGGGCAGATGCTTCACTGACTGAGCCCCCCCCAGGCGCCCCAAATCCCACACAGTTTAACGTATTGATTCCTTATTTCGAGTTGGACCTTGTATTCCTCATTTATGCAGTGAGACGTCACCCGTCACTGTCACTGTCACTTGTGTCTTGTTTCCCCTGCAGTGTTATGTGGGTTGGCTTGTATACCTTACAAAAACCATTGCAAAGGCTCCCGTGTCCTCTTGCACCCACGCCGCTAGAGAGTGTGCAAGGCTTGTTGGGTGGCTGCGCTATGCTATGTCTGGGTCCTCGGGTTTGGGGCTCTGCTCAGAGGAGCCCTGTTGAGCTGCAAGTCAGCTTGCAGTTGTCTGGACGGTGACTGAACCCTGGCCGTCTCTTTCCTCGAAAGACGGTCCACCTGTTCTCCATCTCTGCAGGGAGAATGTGCCGGCGATGGGAGACCCCTGAGTATTGCCTGCTGGTTTTCTGTGCTTTGGGTTGTTAGAGGAAAGCGGGGCCCGGTGCTTGCAGGAGTGACCGGTCAGGACAGTCTGGTTGCAGATTAGAGTCTGGATGCAGCCAGAGGCAGAGCTGCAGGTGTTGGCCCCGCGGGCCACCGAGGAAAGGGCTGCATGGCGGCAGTGAGCCCTCCAGCAGCTGCAGGCCGGCTGATGCGTGGGCATCATGCCATGCAGTCTTGTCTTCTGGAATTGGGCGTGTGAGGGAAGCAGTCCCTGCAGCCCACATCCTTGCGCCACGAGGAGGGGGTGGCTCATTTGAATGGTGGCACCTGGAATTCGGGGGCTGGGACTGGGGCCAAGGACCAGCCTGCTGGAGGGTCTGCCACAGGTGTGTCGGCCAGATCTGCATGGCTGGGTGTCGTGGTTTGTGCGGGGATGCTCCGGGAGGGGCAGCTAGAACTCAGGCCACCTAGGCTGTGGATGTCCCGCTCCTCAGGCAAGTGGACCAGGTGTGTGTGGCTGGTGTGCTCTCTGGGGGACAGGGGGACGTTGGCTTGCTGCTCCGTTCACTTGAATGTGGAGCCAGGCCCCTCGATGGCTGTCCAGCAGTCCCGCAGTACTTGGGCATCTGAGGGCCTCTGTGTGAGCATTGGCTGAGAGAGCAGAGACCCCGGCATCCTGGGCACAGCGTGTGTGTGTGTGTGTGTTTGTGCTTGTGTGGGAGCGGCCTCGTGTGCACTAGCCTGGATGGGGGCCCCAGGGGCCGCAGGTGCCCACGGTGGGGTGGAGTGTTTCACAGTACGTGTTGGGTTCACTTTTCTCCTGATTGGAACTGTTCCAATTTTCCCTCTTTATGAAATTGTGTCATTTCAAAATATGTTCAGAGGAGATAAGAGAGCCTGGGTGAAGGTGAGTCTGGTTGTCCACTGTGTCTAACTCCTGGCTTTGGGGTCAGATCTGGACCGCAGGGCACCAAGCTTGTTTCACGTGCTCCTGACTCTGCCGTTCGGCCTCAGGGTTTCTGGAAGGCATCTACCTGGAGGGAGCTGCAGGCGACCCATCCTTGGTCACCGAGAACCCCTAGAGACTCTGTGGTCCTCTGCTACTGGGTCCTGTCCATGGGCCCTTCCCAGCACTCAGGCCTGAGCAGCTGTCTCAGGCAGAAGACGCGGTGCCCACCTACATCCCCACGAAGCGAGATCAGGGCCAGGGGCAGTGCCCACGTGGAGGTGCATGCTGGCTTGTTGGCTCATTCTCATTAGACTCATCCCACGGACTTGGTAACCGTTCATGTAACCCTGGACTGGGTGACACAGGGAAACAACAGCTTGAATATCTCTAGAACGTTTTAGAAAAAAATACCTCTTGGCTTGAAAAGATGTATTTTTATGTCTGTATTTTTAACTCCCCGAGGTTGGGAAGCTTGAGGAAGCTCCAAGAAGAATAGTAGCTGGCGTTCAAGGCTGGCTCAAGCCCTCCCCGTGCTGGATTTCAGTCTTGCCCAGGGTCCTTCCAGATGATCACGTGGTCTGGGGAGGAACGCGGGGAGAAATCATTCCTTTGCCCCATGGTTCCTTCAGGCCCGGTGAGGGGCTGTTTCTCAGGTGGCCAGGAGGGGAGTCTGTGAGGGCATCTGCAAGGGAGAGAACCAGGAAGCACCTGCGGAAGAGAACCATGTGACCAGTCGGGCCATATGGGTGTCATGGACTGTGGACAGGTCACAGGTCCGTGAGCTCCTGTTCTAGGGACGGCAGACACTGAGAGACCCTGAGGCGAATGCCGAGTGGGGCAGGCGGGGTGGGGAGCAGCCTGGGGGTGTGATGGGAGGGTCCCTGTTCCAGGGAGTGCTGATTGTCCTGAGACCTCTTGAGGGCAGAGCACTGCGAGCACAGGGTGAACTGACACAGAGCTTGGTAACACTGGGGTGACATGTCCATATCCAGAGGCAAGGCCGTGGGAGGTAGACCCCTGGGGCCTAGTCCTGTGGTGGATGCTCGTGGGAGCCGGGCCCTGTGGTGCCCTTGGAGGCCAGGGAGAGAGCCTTTGGATCCTGTAGTGACCTGTAGCCACTCCTGTGGTTTGTCACAGCCCCCGTGGCTCCTTCAGTGACAGAGGAGGCTGTGGTGCCTCCCACCCATGGCCCCAGTCTTGGTCCTTAGGCCCAGAGCTCAGCTGCCACTTGCGGGCCAGGGAGCCCCTTAGCTTGCTTGCTGTGCGCTGTGTGGGGACCACGCCCGCTGTGCTGGGCGTCGTCGTAGTCTATCGCAGGTGTTCCGCGCGCTGGCGTCGGGTTCGGAAGGTTAGATGGCGGCCCAGTGCTGCTCAGAGAGGAGTGCGCCGCGAGCCGCTCCTGACACCTGGAGGCTCTCTTTCCTCCTCTGTGAGGTGGCGACGGGGCAGTGGGGCTGCTCTGGACGGAAGCCGAGATGGGCAGTGTGGAGCAGCATGAACATGATGAGGAATCGTCTGTGGGGGCGTCTGCTCTGGCCTCTTCCCGTCGTCGGTTCCAGGGAGACGGGTACATGACCTGTGCTGAGGACCTCCCGGCTCCCCTGCCCTTCTCTGCAGGGTGACGCTGGCGGCTCGCTGTTGGCCGGTTCTTACAGCTGAAATGGAGTTGTGTCAAATAAGAATCATTTAGTGCTATGGCCAGGGGTGGGCTGCGGTTGGAACCCAGGTCGCGGTGTGCGCACAGTGACGTGCCACACTGGCCTGGGAGCCGCACGCGGACGCCACCCGTCCTGGGTCTGTGACTCCTCGGCTGCTGGCATGGTTTTGGCGTCTGTCCTGTACAGAATGAGGTCCTCTCCAGGAGGTGGCTGACGCGGCCATGTGTTCTCCGCCCCGCAGAACCCCGGAGGACCTGTCCGGGTTTGTCGTTGAGCTGCAGCGGCGGGAGCTGGCTTTGCGGGACCGGAACAACACCATCACCAGCAGGTAGGCCTGGCGGCCGGCGCGTGCGGGGTGGAGCCCCAGCGTGGGTGTCCCCTGGGTGTGGCTTGGGAGCGGCTCTACCTCACTGCTCCCTTGGCCTTGGACTGAGTGAGTGGGAGCTGGGTCTGTCTGAGGGGTGCAGGAGGCCTCGCGTTTCTGCCACACGCCCGGCTGCCCCCGCCTTCCCGTGCCTGCGGGTCTTGGGAAGGATGTGTGCGGCATCGGGGAACCCTGGCTTTGTTGTGGCGTGAGCTCCAAGTGACCCCCTGATTGTGGGGAACCTTGAGCCCAGGGGAGGCAGTGCGTGTGTGTTTGCATGCGGTTAGACCTGTGGGCTCAGGAAGGTCCCAGAGAGGAACAGAGAGATGCCCACGGTCGCCGGTAGCGGAAAGACCTCTGCCCGGGGCTGCATAGTGAGGAAGGAGCCCCCCTTCCTGGTGGGAGGCCCGGAGGCCAGCAGCTGTGTGACATTGTGCAGGCTCAGCATTAGGTTTTCCCTCCTAACCCCGTGAGGCCAGCACACGCTCCGTCATTACGCTCCATCCTGACGTGACCCCACGGGGAAGGGCTTGGTCCCATAAGCTGCCCCACTCCATGCATCCGTCTTAAGTCCTGGGTCCTCGGGCTGCCTGAGCTTTTGTCCTGGTTGACTCCAAACCCAGGGTTTCCTTCCACACCACACCCGTTTGAGGGTTTGCTAGCATGACTCAGAATTCAGGAAAATGCTTTCTGTGCCGTCACTCATTTTTTGCAAAGGTTGCAGTCTGAGCAGCCAGATGGCAGAGGTGCCTGCGTGAGGGCTGGGGGGTGAGAGCTTCCCTGTTATCTCTGGGTACAGCCCTGCTCCCAGCACCTCGGTGTGTCCCCAGCTCGGAAGCTGTCTGAGCCCTGTGTGGGCTTGGCGGGGGGTGGGGGTCTCATGGTGTCTCCCTGCTTACGTCATGCTTATGTTATAGGCTGCTGGGGAGGAGCTTGGCCCCCGCCCCTCACCCCCCAACCCCCATGGGGGTGATTGCTTAATCTGGCCCCTTCTGCAGCCCCCTTGTTAGCTCAGATGGGACAGCGGATGCAAGGGGCTTGTTAGGAGTCATGAGATGCCCTACCACTTCAGCAACCCTAGGGGTCTTAGGAACTCATTGCCAGGAAAGGGGGCAGAGACCAGAAGCTTCTCCGTCAGGCTGCCCCTGGCTTCTGCCATGTGGTTGGCCTTCTTTCTCCGGCCTCAGGTGACCCATCCGCAGGCCGAAGGTGAGGCCTCTTTCTCGGGTCTCCACTTTGGAACAAGGAGGCCTTTCCTGGGACCCCTGCCAGCAGATGCCCCTCCAGCCTCATGGGCCCAGGTGCAGAACTGCTCCAGGTGGGATGGGGTTCCTTGGTCTGCGGCTGGCCCACTTCCCGTGGGGCTCTCCAGGGGGCCGACCGCTGAGTGGGGTCAGGTCCCCACGGGCGAGTGGGTTTGTGAACAGCCGGCCTCAGCCTTGTGTGGACGCAGGGTCTTAAGGGCTCACTAGTAGCCAGAGGGAAGGATTTCTTATTTGGGGGGTTGATGTCACTTTGAAAATTGGCTTTTAGAAGCATCTGGTTATGTTGGACATAATCACGTCAATTTAGCTTAAAAACCTCAAACGATAAAGATTGCCTTTTGCTTTCAAAGCTACTGTCAGATGAAACGGGTGTTAAGAGTGATTTGAAATTAAAGCTTTTACATTTTTCCAGACGATCTTCACTTTACTTTGCATTTGAAACAGAATGAACTGCTCAAAGAAAGAAAACTCTCCTTGGTTTTTCTCAGGCCAAACCATGAGGTGCTGGGAAGGCTGGCTTTCGTGTACGGGGAAGTGGGGGCCAGAGCCGCTCCAGCCACATGGCCCCGACAACCAGCTTGCTCGCGGTAGTGAGTGCAGAGCTGACCTTCTCTTCTCCATTCTGGGAGTGGCCATCCCCTGTGGCGGTACCCTGTCCTCCTCTCCAGACCCCTGGCTCCCCTCTGGGAGCAAGCTCACGTGTGACAGATGGGCGGGCAGGCCCCTGATGAGGTGGTAGGGACCCTTATGATGCGAGGCCCTTCCTGACCAGCACGGAGAGGACTTGTGTGTCTGGCGTCCTTCACGCTGGCCGGCTGCCGGGTCTGTGGGTTGTGGCCTTGTGTGGGGTGTCAGGAGCCCTGGTGAAGGCAGGACAGCCGACTTCATTCCCTGTTGACTGGGGGTATCGGGGGCCCCTGGGCAGCCTTTGGAGGAGGCTGTTGCTTGGTGAAGGGTCTTGAATGAGTGGTGGGAGGGCAGTCCTTGCTCATGTTGCCCGTCCCCATCTCTGAGAGGTGGTGCCCGTGGCTGTGCGTCTTCCTGGCAGCCCACAGGTTGATGGCTTCCCTGTCATCCCCGAGGGGGACTTGAGATCGGCATACTGATCATAATTCTTCGTGTGGCTCTTTCCTTGCTGTTTGTCTGCAGCATTTAGGCCGTCCTCGCAAACCGTCTGGAGTGTGATTAGGCATTGTCATCTTTGTCATCGTGTGTCTGTGTGAGTTATGGTGCTCTTGGGCTGTCCTGAGGCCAGCAAGGCTGGCGACGGCCACAGAAGATTCGTGATGACTGAGGACCTGTTCTCTGCGCATCGGGGTGGAGTTCATGCTGTGCTAGGAGCTCGGGTGGGTCCTTGGCTCTAGCTCAGGCTGGCCGGCCACCGAGTTGCTGTGTGTCCTTGGACAGAGGAGTCAGCCTGTGCCTCCTGTCAGATGAGAAAGGTGATAACTGTCACGGGACTGTGGCACGCTGAGGAAGAAGGCTCTGTCAGCGTCAGGTAGACCTGTGCCTGGTGGGGGACGGGGCAGGAGTGGCCTCTGGACATGGAGGCGTGAGTCATCTCCTATATGTACCCAGAGGAGGCCCGGAAGGGGGGTTGGCATGCAGGACAGTGACATCAGGTGAGAGAACAAGCCTGGGGGGTGGGTAACTGTGAAGCATGAAGACCGGCATGACCTTGTCTGTGTGTCGATGGAGGGTGCATGGGAAATTGCCTTGGACCTGGTGTGTTGAGGAGCTCGTGGGGTCCGAGAGAGGTTGGAGAGGCCGTGGACAGTCAGAGACATAGGCGTGCTCAGTGTCTCCTGTGGACTCCACCTCGGCCGCTGGGTGCCCGAGCAGTGCCGAGGTCCCGCTCGGCCTGGAGCTCCCACTCGGAACTCCAGCATCTGTTCCCACGAGGCCCGATCTCCCTGCATGGGGCTCCTGCTCTGATACGTTCTGGTCGGCGAGGCCGCCCCGGTGCGCTCCTGCTGAGTTCCTTGTGTGCCCTGCGCTTGTGCCGCAGGCTTCTTGGGGAAGGGACAGCATGTTGTGTGCGACGGCGTCCCCGGGGACGCAGAGGACGTGGGTGAGGAGCTGCTTGGTGAGCATGTGTCGGCTGAAGGAATGAACGAACAGCCGACTGAAGAGCCACAGTGACGGACCGCTGGCCCAGTGAGCCCTGTGGGACTCGCGTCTGTGCCGGGCGGTCGCGGGGCCGGCAGCTGGGCTCTGGGTGCCCCCTGCTGGGCTGGCTGGAGCGCTTCCTGTCACGGGGCGGGCCCGGCTTTGCCTCGTGCGTCAGTGCTCCAGTTCCGGGACTCCTGGGGGCTCTGTGATCACCTGGCTGGCCTTCGTCCGGACCAGCCCCACAGCAGTTCCCCTCCCCAGGCCTCACTGTGGTGTTAGGCACGACTGTCTCTGCAGGAGCATGTCCCGGGGCTTTCCAGGGGTGTGGACTGGGGCCCTGCTGGTCTGGCCAGCTCCCGGTGTTGCTCGGTGTATACGGGCTTTGGCGGGTGGTGCCAAGGCAGCCCGTGTCTGAGGCCTCGTCTTCACGCGTTCCTTGGTGGCCGTCTGTGGTGGTGCATCTGTTCCACGGACACTGGCACGTGCCTGTGAGCTCGGTGACTCCATCGACCGGGACCCCTTTCCTCAGGCTGGGCCGGGCTCCGTCCGCTTGCACTGGTCACAGTACTCACACGGTGGGAGGCCCAGAGTCGTGCTGTGAGCACGCAGACCTGGCCGTGGGGGCATTGAGACCCATGGTGCTGTCTCTCTGGGGCTGGGGGTGAGCTGACCCCCAGCACACACACACACAGTGTGCAGCGTCGGGGGCTCCCATGTGGAGGGAGGAAGCGATGAGATTTTTGGAAGCTCCAACCTTTTCAGAGCCTGCGAATTAGTCATAGTGACATTCGTTCTTGTGCTATGTCCTGGACCCTTGGGAATCTTCCTTGGGTGCTTGCTTCCATGCAGAGGTCAGAGCCCAGTCTTCTGCTGTAGACCATGCTGTCTGTCTGGGGCAGACAACCGTCAGTTTAGGGTAGATCAGCTGTCTGTCTGGCTTAGGCTGGCCATTTGGAGTAGATTACACTGTCTGTTTGTCTGTCTCGTGTAGACCACACCATGTTGGGTAGACAGGCTGTCTGGCTTAGGCTGGCCATCTGACAGGACTTCCGGTGATGCTCTTCTCCTGTAGCTATGGAGCCCTTGCACTGTGGCCAGTGTGGGTGAAAAAACACATCTGTAATATAACATTAAGTAGTCGCTTGTGGTTGGTTTGTGGCTTCCAGGTGTGGCTGCGTGGCGTTAGTCCGGGGTCCGAAGTTCAGCTCTGCCAGGTGCCATCGGGACCAGTCCTTGAGGGTCCCTCATCTAGAACATCTAGAGATATAGTAGGCGCAGGAGACGGTTTGGCCCCTTGTGGGGTCGGCACGCGGGTTAGCTGGGACAATAAACCCACATCCCTGTTCCGGCTCCTCGCTGATGAGCCAGCTGTCAGGATGCAGCAGGTGTTGTCACCATGTGCCCCCGTTGTCATCAACAGCCATGTCCTCCTGTTGCGATGATGACAGTCTTGGCACATAAGAACTCACGACCTTCCTCGTGGCTGCCTAGCTCTGTTCCTTGGTGCCCTTCCTCTGCTGGGTTCCCTCTGTTCCTTGCCTGCATGGGCTGTGCTCTGGATGGCAGCTCTGGGTCTGGCCTTGTCCAGCCCCCGTCAGCCTCCAGGGTGTGGTCTGGCTCCCCCTTACTGGGCTGTGCCTCTGCTTCTGCTTCCCCTTCTACCTCTCTGGGGAAGGGGACGAAGGGGATGCTTCGGGGCAGCCCTGGCTGGAGGTGGAAGGACGGCATTCTGTGCAAAGCCCTGGCCCCTTGCGACGCTGGCTGCCCTTCTGCCGTTGCCCCTACACCCTGGTCCATCCCCCCGGCTACACCGGGAATGGCTTAGGCTTCAGACCCTTTGCACTTGTGACTGTACTTCGTGGCCAGCACAGGCTGGCCCTGGCTTGGCGAGGGTTTCACGGGCGAGGAGTCAGAGTGGGTGCCATGCTCTTGGGCACCACATGGTGTCCTGCTGCTGTGCCTCACATCTGCATGTGTGGCCCCGGGCAAGGGCCCTCAGTTGGCTGCCGTGACTGGCAGTGTGTGCCCCTCTCCTTGACTCTGGGTTGCTCCTTATGCCCCACATGTTCAGGAATCCAGGACTCTCTTCCACCACTGGCTGCCATCTCCTTCAGATGACGAGGATTCGTGGCGGCATTTCCCACTCTGGCTGCCTCTGCTGTCCCTACCGCCTTCCCTTGGTGTCTGCCCCTGCTGACTTCTCCAGCCCCTCCCATTTCCACTGCCTCTGCCACACAGCCCCCCTTTAGCAGCGGGACACACTGTCCCTGCTGGCCCTGGCACTTTGCTTAGGCCGTGGCTGACTTGGAATTTCTCTGTGGCTGCGGCTGACTCGCTCCTCAGGGAGGCTTCCCATTCCACTGCATGTCCTGTAATTAAATGTGTCTTCGTCGTGCTCTTGCTCGTCTACCTTCTCCCTGCCGCAGGGCTGGGTCTGGGTGGTTGGGGTCGCCACTGTGGTTCTGGCCAGAGCGACCCGGGACGTACAGTGAGTGAGTGTGGTGCTGGAGGTGTGAGGCTTGGGCGCTGGGGGTGCACAGGCCTCACACGTTTGTCTGGCCAGGCCCTCTTGACTTCTCGATCCACCAAGGCAACAGGTGGTTATCTCGGCTCTGCCTGCAGAGCACCTGAGTCCAAGTGCCAGCCACGCGGGTGCCAGCTGTGTCTCCGCCCGACCGCGAGGCTGGCCCCAGCAGCACTTTCTGCCCCGCAGGGTCTGTGTGCAGAGGAGCCTCTTGAGATGGGCCTCAGACTGTCCCTTGGGCAGGTGCACATGTACAGGACCCTCTGGGGCATTCTGTGTCACTCGCCAGTAGGCTGTGGTCTGCTGCCTTTCTCTCCTGTCCTTGTCGCCATCGTGTTACTCCTCCCTGTGCCCAGGGCCTCACCTACCTCATGCTTCTCACCTCCTCTGTCAGGAGGTCACAGGGCTCCTCTCTGTTCTGGAACATTCCAGCAGTGCTCCCTGATGGAGGGCTAATGCTTCTGGTCTTCATGGCGGCATCTGTGTGTGTCCATCCTCACCTTTTCCTGTGGGAGAGTCCATCCTGCCCAGGCTGCAGCTACCCACTGCCTCCGGATGTTGTTTCTGTGCTCTTCCTGGCACTATTCTGATGCGTTGATTGACCAGTTGATGAGTGCCTGGTGCATTTCTCTGTTTGAGTGTGAACTCTATGAGAGTGCAGGGACCGTGAGCATGGGATCGGTGCCCAGGGCACATCTATTCAGTAAAGAATAAGTGTCTTTTTCTCTTTCCCCAAGATACGTTGTCGATTCCCTGAGCAGTGGTGTCTCTGTGGGTTCTCGTGTCCTCACCCCTGCTGATGAGGACTGGGGGTCAGCGGAGACATCCCCCAGCAGTGCCCATGATCCCAGCCTCTCACCTCCACCTGGCAAGGACTAGAGGTCAGCGGGGACATCCCCTGGCAGTGCCCCCGATCCCAGCCCTTCACCTCCACCTTGTGACGACTAGGGGTCAGCGGGGACGTCCCGTGGCAGTGCCCACAATCCCAGTCCCTTACCCCTACCTGGCGAGGACTGGGGGTCAGCAGGGATGTCCTCTGGCAGTGCCCACAGTCCCACCCCCTCACCCACACCTGGCGAGGACTGGGGGTCAGTGGGGACGTCCCCTGGCAGTGCCTACGATCCCAGCCTCTCCCCCACCTGGTGAAGACTGGGGGTCAGCAGGCTTGTCCCCCGGCAGTGCCCATGGTCCCAGTCCCTCACCCCTACCTGGTGAGGACTGGGGGTCAGCTGGGATATCCTCTGGCAGTGTTCCTGTCCTTGTCCTTGCCAGGATTAGGGGAAGGGGGTATCACTCACTGGGGACCCAGGAGCATGGACTGGGACCTCTCCTTCTTTGCGAGTCCTTCGTCAACCGCTCCCTCTGAATCTGCGGAGGATGCAGCAGTGGGGCTGGCTGAGTTGGCACCTGTCTTGCGCACAACTGGCCTGGAGCTGGTCCCCTGGCTCCTGCACCCCATCTTGGCCGTGGTGCTGCCAGTCCTCACTGTGGTCTGCTCTGCCCCATACTGCGGCAGGCCAACGGCTTAAAGCCAGTCACACGACGTCCACTGGAGAGTACACGTTGCTGATTTTCTCTACAAAGTGGGTTTTGTAACCCGTTTCATGGCAGCTGGGAAGGCTCCTCCTGCTCCAGGTTTATGGCTGGTGCCCAAGGGGAGACAGCCTGGTGTCCTCAGTGCAGCTGTGACCGGGGTGTCGTTCTGCACAGGCGGGCGTTGTCACTGAGATCCCAGCTTGGAAAGCATCGCACGCTGCAGCCTGGGCTGCCTGAGCCTCGAGGAGCACTGGCTGCCAGGGCAGTTTGGGGCGGGGCAGGAGGGGGAGCTGTGGGTAACCCTGTGGGGGCGGGGCGTGTGTGCGTCTGGACGCATGTGCGCTTGTGCACGTGTTCTCGTGCTGATGCCGAGGCTTGGAGAAGGAAAAGGTGTGGGTTCAGAGAGGAGACGTGGTTGCTTTCTAGCCACGAGGTGGATCGGGATCGCTTCTAGGGGCAAGCAAGTTTTGAGTCAGATCTGGCCAGATTGTGAAAAATAATAAAGACCTGAGAACGGCATATGTGAGGGCCGAGGGGTGCTGCCTGCCTGGCCTGCTGCGCAGACCCCTCACGTTTGTCCTGGGAAGACCTCGGCTGGGGTCTCCTCCAGCCTTCGGCCTGCAGACTACATTTGGGCACTGAGCTCTGTGTGGGGAGCCGAGGGGCTTCTGGCTGTGGGGACCCTGCCTATGGTTTCTGTGTCTTGCTTCTGTCCCTCACCATCCCTGTAGTCACCCGCAGGCTGGCTCCCAGCAGGCTGGACCGTGCAGATGCGTGTCCACTAGGGTGCTGGGGTGCCTTGCTGCCCAAGTCAGGCTGACGACCAGGGAGGCCGGACCTGAGGATCGGCCCATGTGGGTTGAGGCTTCTGCGTGGGCTTCATTTTCTTTATATCCCAAACCGGGGTCATGACACTGGCTGATTTGTAGGGTGGTGGTGACGAGGCAGGCACCGAGGACAGCACCCGGCT